ACTGCACGCAAACCCCTCTCCAGGGTGCGTTCGAGTTTTCTCTTGTCACTTGCTCGGCAGAAATGCCAGGTAAGATGGCAATAGGTGAGATACGGAAGAATAGCAGCCTTAAAGATCCTTGAAGATTCAGTGAAGACCTTGCAAAGATCGTTAAGGAATCTTTTGAAGGATCTTGCAACGATCTTTTCTAAGATCTTTCAAGATCTTCAAGGATTTGATCAAGATCTTGCAAAGATCTTTGGTAAGATCCTAACAGGATCTTTGCTAGGATCCTTCAAGATCCCTGAGGATTCAATGAGGGTCTTTGAAAGATCTTTAAGGAGTCTTTTGAAGGATCTTACAAAGATCTTTGCCAAGATCCTTCAAGATCTTCAAGGATTGAATCAAGATCTTGCAAAGATCCTTGGTAAGATCCCAGCTGGATCTTTGCTAGGATCCTTCAAGATCCTTGAAGATTTAATGAGGTTCTTTGACAGTTCTTTAAGGGATTTTTGAAGGATCTTGCAAAGATCTTTGGTAATCTTTGCTAGGATCCTTAAAGATCCTAGATGAGGATCTTTTTAAGATCTTAATAGGATTCCTTGAAGGATCTTTCAAAGTTTGTTAGACTTTCCAACAGGTATGACTTCAACCTTGTTCAATGTAAGACTGTACATGCACATCAGCTCGTCAGCTGATAATAATTATTAACAACACGTTACAACCATTTATAATAATTATTGTTACAGTTTATCTTTACAAAGACAATCCTGTTTTATTGCTATTTCTATTTGTATTATGTGTTTTACAGTAATTTTAAATCTACTTTTAAGCAAGATAGAAAAAAGTGGGGTATTTTATTTCTGTAATATTTTTTAATAACATAAAATAGATTAATTTAATCCCATCATAATATGTTCAATTCTTACACCAGTGTTCTTTTATAATACAGTGATAAAATAGACTGTTTTATCTATGTTTTTTTGGGTAGCAAAGGTGATGAACTGCTCCTTTGCAAAATAGACATAAGATACATGTAGGCTATGAAGATCCCGTTTTATCTGAGTCAACTTTGACTAATGACAAAATAGCTTTAAAATACACTGTTTTATCCCTAGCTTTTGAGGTTGATTTTATCCATGTCTTTTGCATTACAAATTGTGTAAGAAATAGTCTATTCTAATCTTATTTTATCCCAGGCAAACAAATAGTACTTAACAAATGGCAAAGTACATGTTTGTGAGAAAATATTTTATTTTATTCTGTATTATTTGCCAATTCAAGATTCACTAAATTGTAACACTGTAAAACATGATTTTATGGCAGCAACAAAACTACAACAATTAATCTACAAATTCCATGAGCAATGTTCCAACAAGAATAATAATATTTTAAGTTTGATCGTGAAAATCTAGTATGTAAGAAGCTCGAATTGACTATTCATGTTAACAGTCAGTTTTCCTTTAGAAACATACATTACAAAGCAGTTAGTTTACCTTTAGTAATACAGAAGGTTGAATGGGAAAGAGATGACAATGGCATGCCAAAATTAATCTTAAGGTTAAGCTTTAAGCTTCATCTCTTCATCAAGTTTAAAAACTTAATGCTTCTCACAAGTGGATAGTTTTTCAACTCTGTAAGACAAATGATTTCTGCAAATGGTGTCTTAATAATTTCAAGCCAGTGTCTGGCCTCTAAAGTCACTGAAACAGAGTAAAAAGCTGAATTTGAACACGACAGGTACAAGACGCCATCTTGGATTTGAATGTTGATAGGAACCTGGGAGCGAGTCCTATGACCCATGATACAATGCTATGAGAAGGAAGTGCGTTAATTTCAAAGGTTATTCAAACAGAAATGCATCAGGAATGATGTTTATAAGCAACAAAATCTGGTTCTTTTGGCCCTGAAAGAAATTGTACGTATAAAGAATCACAAGGCTTCTGAATTTAGACTTTAAATGACATTTTGATGATCAGCACTGCAATGATATTTATCTCTAAACTTGATCTTGGCATTTTGCTGCAGAAATTGTGAAATGTCTTCCTCCTTGTACAATCATACATCTGTAACTTAACCAAAAACAATTTAAAGCTTCTCATAGAAGTTGATCTGAAATCATGTTTCTGTTGTGAGCAGTTGCTTTTAGCTTACATGAAGCCTTCAGAGGTCAACGTACATGTATTTAGCTGATATTAATTACATGTTGCTGTGTGCTTCTCTTCTAGTTATTCACTGGTTATTAAAGCAGAAAAGCGTGGAAGTAATAGATTCAGCAACAGAACTACATGTTAAAAAGTTAAGTGAAAAACAATTCACAAACATGAGTGATAATAATTTCACTATTTCCATCACAATCTGTACTGTTCCACTCTGTTGGACCTGACAGGAAATGCACTGTAGTCTTGCAGTTCGAAACTTTGAATTTGAAGCTAGACCTTCAAAAATGTCAGTAAGCTTAAATCTGTACGTCACATAAAGAACCCTTCAAATTTAGGAAATAAAATTAACTATGAACAGAAACAAGATGTTCCAGCTGGTCTTTAATCTGATGTGGTCTCCTCCTTAGCTTTGGCTACTGGACAAAATTCTTAGTGATAATTCTTTTAAGAGTGGCTTAATATCTAAGGATAAAGTTGGTGAGTCATTGAATTTTGGTGCAGTATTATTTTGTTTAAATTGTCATTTGCCTCCTAATTTAATATCACTGTTTTTTATACACTGTGTTAAGATACCCAGCTGTCAGAAAGTGTTTTGAAAACACTAGATACCTAGATAAATTAGATACCTAGATAAATTATTATTGATAGAATTTCCACTGCAAAACTAATTCATTTCTTCGTAGAATAGTAGATCTTTCTTTAGAAATGTCAAGCAATTTCAAGTATTATTTTGACTTTGTAGTTTAAGAAATTCTCACCTTTGGGCATACTATAAATTTTGATGTTTTTACACTGAGAAAATAATTCTGGCACTCCGACTCCAGAGTCAACTCTCATAAACTTAAGTCCACACACAGTTGAAGCCCTCTGAGAGTGCTCGCTATTTGTTCAGAAATGCCAAGGGATTCTAAAGAACATTTTGGTTTTGTATTGGACGAATCCTCTTAGCCTCAGCATACTATAAAAATCTAGATCTTGACTCACTGGCACAGTTGTTTAGAAAACTAGATCAAATGGGGCTCTCATGTGCTCTATTTTATACATGTAGCTATTTTTTTACTATTTTCCTAAACTTATTCACCTATTATCAGCTATTTTAAACCTGCTTTTGTCCCATTTTTTTCATGATCTTTCTGGTCACTGGTTTTAAAATAGACATAGGTTTAATGTGGGGCACCTATGTTAAAAATATTTTTTTCCCTGTTTCATGCCTATGTTAAAGCTATCTTAGGTCTACTGTATGTTACAAGGCTTTTTTTCCTACTTACCCCAATTTTATGCTTCTTTTATGGATAATTTAAGATTATTTTCTAGGTATTTTATTAAATTCAACTTGTTTCATTCATGCTATTTTAATACTATGTTCTCATCAAGTTGCATAGACATTATTCATTTTGTTAAATTGGTTTCCAATCCGTACTGTACATTGAGAGTTGGTTACGTATTGTGTTATGTCATGTGAGACATCACAAAATGTAACATTTCACAACTACTTACATGAAGTAAATTCAAAGTTTCATGTCAACCGCCATTATGGATACGAAGCTTTATGTTTCGTTCTTTCTCATATCACTTGATGAAACAGCTTCACAGCTGTAAAAATCAATGAAGCTGCTGGAAAAATAACTTGAAAGGCCTCAAAGATAAGGTAGATGGTTTGTAATGAATAAGATCCATTTGCACTCCATCAAGTGAGACACATAGACATTAGGGTGCTGAGACTACACAGTACAGACTGGAAAATCATTTTTAAGGCTTCTTTTTTAATGTTATGTGTGTCTCTTATGAAAAACTTGAATAATATGAAGAGAATTTAGCTTCAGTCAACTTCTTAACAATTTTGTAAGAATTGTTACACATATAAAATTTATGTTTACAAGTAACATTTTTTTGTTAGCAATGTGGACATAGCCTTTGTTAAAACAGTTACTGTTACTAAGGGCCAGTCCCCGAAATCTGGTGATCATATTGAGAAACATGTTCTGTGACTCCCTACATCTGATAAAAAACTAATGCATGTAATTATTGGAACTGAAAAAGTTGGACAAAGATCTTTGAGGGTATTGCAAGATCTTAACAAGGTCCCTGAAGATCTGAGCAAGATCCTTGCCAATGTTTTTGTGGATCTTGCAAAATTCCCTATCAAGATCCTCAAAGATCCTGGTCAAGATTTCCAAGGGTCTTTAAGGATCTTCAAGGATCTTCAAAATTCTTGCCAGGATCTTCAAAGTTCTTGCCAAGATCTTAAAAGATCATAAAAGATCTTGCAAAGATCTTAAAAGATCTTGCAAAAATCTTAAAAAGATCTTAGAAAAAAACTGAAGATCTTTCAAAGATCTTGAAGGATCTTAACAAGAACTTTGAAGATCCTTAGAGATCCTTCAAGATCTTGGCAAGATCTTTGATGATCTTCAAAAGGTACTGCCGAGATCTTTGAAGATCTTGCAAAGATCTTGTCAAGAACTTTGAAGATCCTTGAGGATCCTTAAGGATCCTTCAAGATCCTTGGCAAGATCTTTGAAGATCCTGGCAAGAAGTTTTAAGATCCTTGAAGATCCTTTAGGGTCCTTAAAGATCTTAACCAGGATCTTTAAAGATCTTGACGAAGATCCTTGCAAAGATCCTCAAGAAGACCCTCAAGGATCCTTGAAGATCCTTGAAAGATTTTCACCAGGGACACTCAGATGAAAACCAAGCTAAAAACATTATTATAAATAAAAAGTTAAAACAATAACTGTTGTTAAATTCACTAAATAACAGACTGCTTGATCTAGAGTCCAATCACACTAAACATTAGACTGCTATATTCCCATCATTTAGTAATAATTATTATATAAAAGTAGAAAATCAGATATTTACCATTAATGTAACAAAACTGCTCAGCCAAGTCTTGGCGTTGTACAAGTCTATGTTTTAAAGCACCACACAATGCTTCATAGGTTGCAGCAGAACCTTTTTCTTGTTTCCAGTGCTTCAACATATAGTATCCCTTTTCAGACGGTTGGTCGTGAGCTTGAGCTATTTCCAGGAGCTTTGTATCAGTGATATCTAGGCGGCGCCCAAGCTTTTTCCAATTTTCTACAATTTTGTCACCCAATTCTTCTAATTCTTCATCTGTGGGTGTGCCATCCTTAACTAGAGAGAGAAATAATTGTTTACAGATAACTGTTGTTGTTGTTGTTGTTACTCAGAAAATAATTTTAATAATAGATTCCTATATGAAAGTGCCTATGAAGTAAAAAATACTTCCTGCTTATTTGAAAGGATTTTTAAAATAAAAAAAGAACTGCGTTTTCCTTTTTGGAATAGCTTTTTTCATTTTAGAGATATTCACGTTTTTGTATTATGCAAATGAGGAAAGTGATGACGTCATAGGTGGTTCCTCTAAAACAGCACAACACTCAATCTAAAACTCTAAAAATATTAAAGCAGTGTTCTTCAAACTTGGCACCAGCAATGTACATCACAAAAGAAACAGAATGACTCCTACTATGCTGTTGCCATGGCAACACTCTTGGCTCCAGTCTCTTTCTCTGAAAAACCAAATATCCCCGTTTGCAACCTTTTAAAGTGGGACAGAGGGTCTTGCTCGGAACACACATGGTTCCCATATTGTCTTAACTCTCCCCATTAGATTGGTTGGAGTGGATGATCCTTGTTTAAGATAAAATCTGGGAATTTTAGTTTTAATTAAAACAGAACCAGCAGCATAACTGTTGTCATGGCAATGGCACAACAGGTGTCATTATGTCTCTTTTGTGATGTACATTTCTGATGCCAAGTTTAATGAATACTGCTTTAATATTTCTAGAGTTATTCTCGATTGAGTGTTGTGGAACCACTTATGACGTCATCACTTTCCTTACAAAAATGTAAATATCTCTAAAACGAGAAAAGATATTCCAAAAAGGAAAATGCCATTCTTCTTTGCTTTGAAAAGCCTTTCAAATAAGCAGCAATTATTTTTTACTTCATGGGCACTTTTAAAAGTATTCTATGACATTTCTTCCAAGTTAAAAAAAAACACCAAAGAGGTTCAGCACCAGCTTAAATTAATGAAAAACTAGGTACAAAGGGTAAAAAGTAGGGTAACCTCTTATTCACTTGCAAAACTATGTACTGATGATGTCATCCCAGTGGTAACAGGTCAATTATAAATAAGTGTCAACTCCCTGGTCATGCTGTTCAAACAAATATTGCAGCAAAATAATGAAATATATTAAAAACCCCAACTGGCAGGAGGTAGACCAGTTTGCTACAATATGTTATGAGTGTAGCCAAGGTTTTGCAAGTAAAACAAGATTTACCAGTATTATAAACTCATCGCCAATTGATAAGGTAATGGGTAAGGTGCCTGAGGGATGGTGGAGCCGAGATACGAGTCTCAAGCAGAGCACATACAGCTGTAGGTATCCATGGCAACCCTGAGTGGCAACCACCAGGTACTGCCACACTAACAGAGTCGGTGGAGATACAGTACTTACCACCACATGTACTAACCATCACCAGCAAATTAGGGAGAGAGGCAAGGGAGCAAAAACGCACTTAAAGTGTGAATGGCACTTGAGGCAAACTGCTTGTTCTTACTCAGCCAGCAAGCAAAACATGTAAGCCATTGGAAAACCCCATATGAGACCCTGTGCAGAGCATGGTTGCCCTGAAAGGCCACTGACCAGCATTGGCTCGAGTCAAACTTTACCTTAATTACATTTAGCCACATTAAATAACAGTAAGAGTTACAATTGTAATGCAGACTCCAGACCGGGGATAAAATGCAGAGTGCAGACTGTAGTCATTTTAAATACATATCGTATTATTTCCATTATTGATTGCTGACCATAAACAGGGTTGTTCAGCCTAATCATAGTAAAAGTCTGCACTCTGATTGGCCAGTGAATACCACTAAGCTTAGCCTGAAAAACAATTCTGTAATCACCTGTTAGCTTGTTTACAGTTAGCTCTCAATGATGGAAATGGTAACACATTTTAGTTAAAAAGTCTACAGTCTGCATTTCACCCTCAGTCTGCATTTTTCCCCTGTTCGCAGTCTGCAGTCCGCAATCTGTGTTTCACACTGACCACATTAAATAATAATTTTAACTCTAAATCATTAACGTCTCAAAATTAATTGCTTTAACTGAGGGATAACCCATACTTATAGAGGACACCTACCTACATGTGAAAAAGAAATGAAAAAAACCTCAGAATAATTCTTAAATAATATTGCAGTGGAACCCTGCTTACAGCCAGTCAGTGTAAAATGCAGACTGCTGACTGCAATCTGCATTTTACCCCTGGTCAGCAGTCTGGAGTCTGCAGTCCACAGTCCGCGTTTTACACTGACTGCCTTACAGCCACCCCGTTAATACAGCCACCTCATTATTGCGGATATCTTATTACAGGCATAATCAATCAATAAACCAATAATCG